AAGAGAGTTCGTGTAAATGAATTATATAGATGGATTATGTATCCAGTGCAATGTAAGTTGAGTAATAAATAGTGACCTACTTGGTCTCAATAAGCCCTCTGATTTTGTCGCTCATATTATCTAAATAGTTCGAATCACCATAAACAACAAGTCCACGAATCTCTTCCACGAGATCGGGTCGCTCGCTTTTGAGTTTGCGACACGCCATAAAAATTCCTTTTACTTCCACATTATGTGTGAAGACTAAATCCATATGCATATTACATCCATCCTCGACTAATGTGGCTGTTCACTTTGTTATTCTACGCTTATCTCCTAGAACCACTTCAATGTATGTTCTATCCTCTCTTGTGGAAACATATGTGTCAATGTAGTTTCTGTAAAAAAGTAGAAGAAGATAAACACACGAATTAGAGTATGTTTCAGATAGAAGTTAACAATTGAAAACTCACCATCCATTCTATAGCGGTCGAGATGATATTATATGTCTCTGAATTATATAGATGGATTATGTATTCAGTGCAATGTATGTTGAGTAATAGATAGTGTCCTACTTGGTCTCAATAAGCTCTCTGATTCTGTCGCTCATATTATCTAAATACTTCGAATCACCATAAACAACAAATCCACGAATCTCTTCCACGAGATCGGGTCGCTCGCTTTTGAGTTTGCGACACGCCATAAAAATTCCTTTTACTTCCACATTATGTGTGAAGACGAAATCCATATGCATATTACATCCGTCCTCGACTAATGTGGCTGTTCACTTTGTTATTCTACGCTTATCTCCTAGAACCACTTCAATGTATGTTCTATCCTCTCTTGTGGAAACATCTGTGTCAAGGTAGTTTCTGTAAAGAAGTAAAAGAAGAAAAAAACACGAATTATAGTATTTTTCATATAGAAGTTAACAATTGAAAACTCACCATCCATTCCATAGCGGTCGAGGTGATAGTATATGTCTCTGAATAAGGTTGATTTCATTGTATTTATTCTCTAGAAAATGAGTTTGCTCTTTCTAAGTGATCAAGACATTGTACCTCATGATTGTCTCTGCAAAAAAAATCCTGAGATTAGAGCTAAGGTTTTCAAATGTCTCATCAAAAACTTCTACTGCCATATGCCACCACCTCCACTAATTCCACACAATTCGAGCGTCCTCTCAGACTTTTTGGCTTAACAAGGAAATCTCGAGCTTGCTTGGATGTCAGGGTGCGTAGAGTGAAATTAAGGCTCCACTGCTTGTAGTTTTTTTGTTCGTAAAAATTTATGTTTTGTTGCTCATAATTGTTCCGTCCAATGAAATTAAGGTTCTCTTGCTCATAGTCACCCGTCGAGGTACTTGAAAACTATGGTATCTATAGTCGCTCAGTGGCGGAGAGTTAAGATGACGAAGACTCTGACTTGTTGTTATTTGTGAAAGATTAACTTCTCTCTCTTCCCCCCCCCCCCCCTTTTCAAATAAAAAGGATAAAATGCTAGAATGTTAGTAATATGAAATGATATAGTTGCAAAAACATGAATTACAATGAGGCTATATATTAATTTGTTTACTATAACACTTAGAAATGGAGCATTATTCTTATTATTGATTATTTCTAATATCAAACTATATTTAATAATTTAAATTATCTTCAATTATATAGATTAAAACATAGTTCGTAATAAATAATTAAAAATAAAAACCACATGTGAATAAATTAATTTTAAATAATTGTAAGCTCCAATGTGTGATAGTTTATGACTCTTATTCTCATACAATACCACTATGTTAGTTTATTGGGGTAAAGTGTCTAATTTTGCTCAAACATATTTGCTAAGTCGCTCGCCTAAAAACAAGTTGCTCGCCTCTACTATCCCAGTCCAACCGCCGTTTCTTGGTTATCCATGATCATTAGAACAAGTTTAACATAACTCATCAGAGATTTGAATGATTAACGAAATCATGAATCAATAGTTGGTAGAATATATTGACAGTAAGTCTTTGGTAGTTTATATAAAAAGTATAACTTAATTTTTTTTATTAGAGAGTATAAAACATGGTGAGTCATTCCAAATCATTAATAATTTTTATATAAGATATATTAACTTTAAAAACTTGCACGCTCTTGTATAAAATCCTTGCTACGCTAGTGGTTGACTATATTGAGCAAGTAACTAACTAAGTTGCAGCGAAGCGTTTTCTGTGTTGTTGAAGCCGTCCTAATGAGAAGTGAGAGGTCATTTTGATATCCGGATTGGTGACGCCGACCACTTTAGGAACAATTGGATGATCAAACAAGTTTTTTTGTTTCCATTTGATCGCAAGTTGTGCAATTGGATGATCTAACACATTTCTTTGTTTCTTTTGTTATTGATGATCACTTTGTTTCTTTGTTCTTGATGATCTTTACTTTATTCAGTATCAAGGAAGCAAGTGCTTTCCATATTCTCTAGAAAGCCATCGCATGAATTCCATTGCCTTAAACTTAGTGGTACACGATAGATGGAGAATTAAATTGGTTAATAAGCCTCAATGAGAGTGATTATCCTACTGTTGTGTATAACAAGTAGTCAAGTATACAAATTAGGTATGTGTTTTTCGAGGAATTCTTAGGTGCTCCCGAACACCACATTGGATTGGTGATGTGGTGCTCCGGACCAATGAAATTATACCACCTGTAGTATTAATTATTTTGTTAAATATTCATAAACATTCATTGACTAAAATACATAAATTTTTACTTACTTTTGCATACCTTCAACATCATTTAAATCGGAATGGAGATTATGCAGATTATGCGCTTCAACTCATTTTTTCCTTCTAATCTTCCTCAACCTACTCTTCTTTGTTTGCAACACTGATGAATGGAATTTATGTTCTCTCTTTTCCTCTCTTCCTCCAACTACTTTTTCCTTCTCCTCTCCTCCAAATCTCTCGTTGGTTGCAATATAATGGCATTTGTGATATGTAATGCACATACGCGTTGTGACAAAAAAGGAGAAGACATTACTACTATGATTACTACTTGGTGTGACTCTCGCATAAGAAGTTAAAAACAAAATCAAGGAAAAAAAACAATAGTAGCAGAATACATTAAGCCTGTGTTTGGGAGGAGGTGGAAATAGAGGAGGTGCATATTTTGGGGAGTGAGGGGGAATTCCAACGAAGAAACACCAATTTGGTTAGTTTTGTACAATAAGGGGAGGGGGAAAGGGGGTACATATTCCCTACTTGAGCAAGCCCCCCAATTTCAGACGCAAAAAAAGAGAGAGAAAGGATGAGGGTTTGGGGTGGGGAGAGAAGGTCAAAGGAGCATGAAGAATGAGAGAGAGTGGTGAGAGGAAAAATTAAAAAAAAGTTATTTTTTTATTATTAAATACAACCCAACACCTATTTACGACTTCTACTTTTTCTCTCAAATAACAATTTACGCCCCAATTTACACTCTCACTTAAATTTACTCCATACAATTTACACCTCAATTTGTACTCTCTCGTTGCCAAACAAAGCGAAAGGGAAAAGAATAAGAGAATGACAGAAATTTAAAATACGCCCTTTTATTCTTTCTTCTGCCGATGTTTGGTCTTTTCTCATGTCGGGGCCCAATTTACTAAGCTCGGCATTCCTCCAGTTTTATGGTTTTTTTAAATAATTTTTTGATCGATTATTTCACTTGAGGCGATTTTCTAAGCTCTGCACTTCTTCGTGTTCCTCCATCTTCTTGTCGCCTCTCTCCCTCTCTACACAGTTGCTCCTCCATCTCTACCACCGTCTAGTCCCAACGTAGCTATGGTGCTTACACCACTTTTTGTGAGTATATACTCACATGGTGAGATTGGATGTCACATGGGAGAGCTGAGATCCAAGGGCTGGGGCTCATGAGTCATGACTAAGGAAGGGCTTATTTAAGTGAATTATAGTGGCTTCTCGGCTACGAGTCAAGCCAGCCAAGATAACTCGTATCCAGGCAAGAAAACCTAATATCCAAAATGAACGAACTACTAGCCAAGGTTGCTTCTTTTATGAAGTAGTACTAAACTATACATGAGAGTACTAACTAGTATCTTGAGAGCACAAACTAGTATCTAAACATGACCAAAATAATATCCAACTCACAAAATTAGTATTCAGCCAATCAATTACGAAATTACCAACTAAAATCCACAATCAAACCAACTAGTATATGCTAAGGTAAGGAATCATCCCAATTCTCAATTAGATGGTTGAACTCGATTTCTTTTACCCTAGTGAAGATATTCATAGAGATGAGATAGAAAATTGATACCAAATTACTTAGGGATGGCAATTTGAACCCGTCCCGTAGGGTATTACCCGACCTGACCCGCAATGGGGCGGGTATTACCCGACACGCAGTAGCATGACGCGGGACATGTGTATCAACTTCCGACACGCTCTGCCCCGCTCCACCCCATTCTTGACCCGTTCTATGTCAATTTCTTACGCCATCTATTTGTATATCTCCTATTTTGGCTTTTCTTCAACTAATTAGACTTCATCGTTCAACTAGATAGGCTCAAATACCCATTACATTGTCAGGATTATTCATTCATGAAGTCTTTTTTCCTTTCCTGTTATCGTAAAAAGTAAAATTTTTGCGTATATTTTTTCAAATAGAATGTAAAAGTGAGTCGACCAGCCCCGCCCCGTACCCGCGCGGGTATTACCCACCCCGACCCGTAATAACGTGGGGCGGGACATGAGTATTGAGGTACCCGCCCCGCCCCGCCCCGACCCATTGCCATCACTAAAATTACTGCAACAATAGCTACAGCTGACCAAGTTGCATTCTTTCAAATCTATATTTGAAGGTTAACATTAAATATTGAATTTAAATATATAAGGTTTGTCATTTTGTTTGTAATGATGTACTTTATTTAAATAAGATTGTAGTGTGTATGAAGATTTTTTTGAAATAATATTATATATATGCTTAATTCATTTGGTTTACTAGTTTCACACTTATTCTATATATATTTTATTAAACCGAAACAATACCAATTATGCATAGGCCAAAATCATATAACTTATGGTAACGACATAAACTAATTTAAAAATATAATTGAGACAAGTCTTCTTTATTATTATTATTTTTTTTTTTTTTTGCAAACTCTTCTAGCATAGTAGCATTTGCTAATTGAAGTTTTTTTTTCCTCCCTTTATTCCATTTCTTTTTGTTTCCATTATAGCGAAGCGACCCGGGTACGCTATACCTGACCCCTCTCTTCTACTTGGAAACAATTCCAAAATACACTAGTAATTAAATTTTTTTCCAAAATACATAAGTAATAAAAAAGTTTCTCACTCTACACATGTTTCACAATCACCGTCTTTGTCAGAGGCAGTGAACAACATCACCGTTTTTGACAAAAGCAGTGAACAAATCACTGCGTTTTGATAAAACGATGAACGCTTCACCGCTGCTAAGTAAAATGGTGATATCTTAAAACAGTGAATCATTCACCGCTGCTAAGTAAAATGGTGATATCTTAAAACAGTGAATCATTCACCGTTTTTGTATAAAACAGTGAATCATTCACCATTTTATATAAAAGCGGTGATATGTTCCCCGCATCTGACGGCCACGGTGATTCGCATCGGGCGGGGCATTCACCGCGTTAATCAAACACGGCGAATAACCCGCGCCTGTCCACGTCAGTGATCCGCGTCGCGCGGGGTTTCACTGCTGCCGTTGGATGCAGTGAGGCGCGGATTTTGATTTTCTTTCCAGATCCGACGCATCACATGCTCCACGTCATCGATCCTCGCCATTCATCGTGTTCGAGAAAGGCGGTTTATTCACCGCGTTTGTCAAAGACGGTGATGGCGAGGCATTAATTTTTGCCAGATCCCTCCCCCTATAAATTGAACCCTTCCCCGCTCTTCCAAATCATACCACCACATTACACTTCTTTCTCCCTCCATTCATCCACTATAGTCTCGTTCTAAGTATGCTCTGTGGTTGCGGCTAAGTCTGATCTTCCACATAATAAATAATTACTAGAGTTATACCCTAAAGCCCCCGTCCCTTAAAAACCCGTCGAACCTCTGTCCGGCTTTCGCCAAAAAATGGACGAAGAGGCTCTTCGGGTAGGTTCTTGATTTTTCTTTTGTGATTTGTTTTAATCTTTCCAATTTAATTTTGTGATTTTTTTAATCAAAACAATTTGATTTGGTTACTTTTATTTACAGATGGGTGTCAAGATATACGATCCTCGATTGTATATCCATTATGGGCCAAGAGATACGAAGTATTTAACCGATCAAGAAGCACATCGCTCCCGTGCAATTTGGGACAACAATCCGGTAAACACTACGTACCTTATCAACAATTTACTTTATTTCATAATTTAGTAAGGTTTTATTTTGATTTCTTTTAACTAACAAATCGATGTTTTTTCTATTTTTTTTTTGTGGGAATCACTTATTCCCGTCATCCATAAAGGGACCACTAACTTGCCTGCTTGGCATGATCGACTGTCGCCGTATATAGAGAGGACTAGGTTGGGTATGTTGAGGCATTTCATGCGGATTGAAATCGACAACGATCTGCTTACGGCAATGGCAGAGCGATGACGCCCGAAACTCATACATTCCACCTTCCTGAGGGGGAAATGACGATCACCCTCAAAGACGTCGCGATCCTCACCGGGATGCCGATAACTGCAAATGCCATCATTGGTACCACTACCAAACCCGATGCAGGTTAGGGTCCGCTCATTCGTGATCGTTTTGGCTTTGACATGCCGACCACCAGACCAATTCAAGGACGGGGGCATCCATCATTGCATGCGGGACAAGTGTCGATCCTGTGGCTTGGTAATCACATCCAAAATGAGGTTGAAATCGGCCCAGAGACTCCGGAAGATCAATTGGAGCGCTATGCACGCATCTACCTCATTGGTTTGGTCGGATGGATTTCTGTTCCCCGACAAGTCGAACCAGTGGATTCAAGGCATATGGTTGCCAATGCTCCTTGGTGACTGGGACGCGATCGGGGAAAAGAGCTGGGGATCGGCCGTGTTAGCTGGCATATATAGGGAGCTGTGTACTTGCTCGAAGGTGGGAGCGAAACCAGCTGGTGCGGCGATGTTCATCCTCCAGCTCTGGGTATGGGAGCATCTTCCAATGTTCGCACCTCAAGACCCACGTCCATACTGGAGAGCAGATGATGAGCTTGCAAATTTGAAAAATTCCCCCTATGGTGTCAAGTAAGTTTATTCCATACTTATCTATATTTAACCACGTCATCATCCTTTATGACAACTTCTTGGTACACAACCCTGCCAACACTCATGTCTGGATACCGTTAAGTAATTTTAGCAACTCTCGTCTGTCCGCTCGTACAAACCCTGTATGCACAAATGTCACAGAGTTCTAGCCACGTGAATCGCGACTCAATTTTCAACATAGTGGATTCGCCGTCCTCATAATTAATCCCAATGTCAGAGTTTGTCACCCTTCCATTCCTCCGAATAATAAGCTGAAACTTCTTGAATTTACCCATATCTACAATTAACAATAAGTAACTATTAGCTTAATTCCAATAAAATTAACCAAAACCATATTGTACGACTAATATTACTCCATCTCATAACTAACAACAACATAAATTCCCAACTAACATAACATACTTGCTAAGATAAGTAATTCATTACATAAATATAACTACTAAAAACATTATTATATAATAATACAAAATTAAATCATACCGAAAATAGCTTCGGTGTATTTTGCTCGGTTTTTTGCTGAAATTTAAAGGAGGGGGGGGGGGGGGGTGGGGTTTACGTTTTTCAATTGCTGGTGGGGGTATTTATATGAAAATCGGCTAGCATTCACCGTGTTAGTCAGCGGCGGTGAAGCCAATCACCGTCTTGCCCTAAGGCGGTGAACGTTAGGTGGTTGTAACCTAACTCTCACCTACCTAGGGTGGGAAACATGAGCAACTATCACCGCCCTAAACTACAACAGTGAAGGTGTTCCCCGCTTTTCACCGTTGTTGATGAAGATGGTGATTGATTCACCGTTTAAGTCAAAAACGGTGATTCCTTCGTCGTTTTCATTAAATGCGGTGATTTATTTACCGTGTTTGTCTAACACGGTGATCGCATTTACTGCATTAGACAAAGATGGTGAATGTGAAACGTAGATTAAAATTTTTTTTATAACTTTATGTATTTTGGAATTTTTTTTAAATTACTAGTGGGACTTTTCCCCTTCTGCTTCTCCCCATAAAATTTAGCTACCTCCTCCTTAGTCCTTCCCAGTTCCCTCCCTCCCTCGCTGTGGCCACTTCCAAGCTCAGCCACTTCTTCTTGCTCAGTGTACGCTCATGGCTTCTCTCGACGCTTATTCTTCTTACTCTTCCTCAGCTTCCATCTCTGGTCTCCGTTCATTACCTAATCAATTGCAGACATGGAATCTTTTCTACCTCAAGTGCCCATCCTCTCGCCGTTATCCATCCTCCCCTTCCCCTTTCTCCACCCTCACCTCTTCCCTCCACGTCCCAGCTGCCCTTGCCGCCGCCCCTTCCCCTGCTCGACTACGTCCCCGCGCCGATAGCATCGACCTAGACAACGACCCAATCTCCCTCCTCCACCTCAGAATTCGCCGCTACCACACCAGCCGGGATTCCTCCTCCAGACCTGCCATGGACTCCAAGGAGGCCGATAAATACATTCAGCTGGTGAAGGAGCAGCAGCAGCGAGGTTTGCAGAAGTTGAAGGGAGAAAGGCAGTCCAAGTCCAACTCTGACGCCGGAGGATTTAGCTATAAGGTCGACCCCTACACACTCTGTCCCGGAGACTACGTCGTCCACAGGAAGGTCGGTATTGGGAAGTTTGTCGCCATCAAGTTCGATATCCCTAGCCCTTCTTCTCCGCCTATCGAGTATGTCTTCATCGAATACGCTGACGGCATGGCCAAGCTCCCTCTTCACCAGGCCTCTCGCTTGCTTTATCGTTACAATCTGTAGGTATTCCTTCCCCTGAATTCCTCCCCTTCTCTTGCTTGTTGGTTGCATGGGAAGCTCTGTGGTTTCCTTTTAAGTCCCCATTTGAACTCAATTTCTCATCCTATCCTCGTAATGTTGCTTTTCCAGCCCCAACGAAACGAAAAGGCCTCGGGCGCTGAGCAAATTGAGCGACCCAGGTGCGTGGGAGAAGAGAAAGACCAAAGGTAAGGTTGCAATTCAGAGAATGGTTGTTGACTTGATGGAGTTGTATTTGCACCGGCTAAAGCAAAGACGGCCTCCTTACCCGAAGAATGCTGCCGTGGCTGAGTTTGAAGCTCATTTTCCTTATGAACCCACGCCTGATCAGAAACTGGTAATGCTTTAGCAGTGTAAATCTGCACTTAATTTTCAACTTACATTGTTTCAAGTTGAGTTTACATAGAGTTGATTATCTTACAACTACCGTTCTGTCTTGCCTATTCATGTAATACGAGATTTCTTCATGATCATGGTTAGTATGCCCTCATTTTGCACTTCATTCATCTTCCTGTCACCACTTGCAACTCATTCCATTTTCCTTGTTAGCTTTGGAACTTGAATTTCTCAATTGTTCACGAGTTAGATACATGTTCCAGGCTTTCCGTGATGTTGAGAGGGATCTAACTGAGAGGCAAACTCCAATGGACCGATTGATATGTGGGGACGTTGGTTTTGGGAAAACAGAAGTTGCTTTGCGTGCCATATTCTGTGTTATCTCAGCAGGAAAGCAAGCAATGGTTTTGGCACCAACAATTGTCCTGGCCAAGCAACACTATGATGTTATTTCAGAACGTTTTTCTAAGTATCCTGATGTCAAGGTCGGACTTCTTAGTCGGTTTCAGGTATAAGCTTCCTATATCTCTTGGCCCTTCCATAGGGTAGTAGCATGTTAGGAGCTCATATTTCACTCAAGCGAAGAAGTTCTTTTTGAAAATGTAAATTCAAAGGTGTCATCTAAAACTATATTTTTCCTTCTTAAGCTCAGACAGTATGTTATTTGTCTGGCATCAGGCATGCCTTCATGTTCAGTTGTTGGACTACTTATTCCCGATCGCCGGTGTCAGCATAAGATTGACATACACTTTATCAACTGCATACACTTTACCAAATGCAGACCAGAGCAGAAAAGGAAACTTATCTGCAAATGATCAAACATGGTGATTTGGACATAATTGTTGGGACTCACTCACTTCTTGGAAGCCGTGTTGTGTATAACAAGTTGGGTCTTCTTGTTGTTGATGAAGAACAGGTTTGTCTCTGGAACCCTTGTTGATTGTTATTATTTGGACATATGTTGATCATTAAATTTGGAGTATTACTTGCTGTAACTAATCAAAGTAGAAAGATATACACGTACATAGACTGCAATTCCATATGTCCTGTAAGATTCTTGCATTTTGCAAGCTTACTCCTGCAGACTTGTATGTTATGGGTATGTATAGATCTTATGAACGATAGTAATATGATTCTGTTGTTGTGATGACGTGAGAGGACTGAGGGAACATATGCCAAGTCTGGTTGTAACCTATAAACTCTATTGTTCTTCTGTCCTCTTTTCCTGTTGTTGTAGGTTAGGTGAGGTTCATAAGGCCTTGAACGGGCATGCCCATATCCATGCTTGAAGTGCAAACACTAATTTAATGTCCATTTGCTTCCAGAGGTTTGGTGTCAAACAAAAGGAGAGGATAGCTTCTTTCAAAACTTCTGTTGATGTGCTTACTCTCTCAGCAACTCCAATACCTCGAACTCTTTATTTAGCACTCACCGGATTCCGTGATGCTAGGTATTATTCCAGTTTATGCATAGGAGTATTAGTGTTAGGCTATAAGTATTTTACATGAATTAGCTTTTTAAGATTTAATATATAACATACGTAAGTATCTTTGGAGGAATTCAGATCGTTAAGATATGTGGCACTATATAGTAAAATTAGGTGTCATTGTAGGCTAGATGAAGTAATAGGCGATTGAATTGCTGTTAATTTGGATTTTGTTGTATGGGAAATGATAATTGTTCAAGGCAGCATCTTAGGTTAGAGAAGGACATGGACTTGTCCTCCTCCTGTCAAACTGATTTCTCGATTGGTGGTTACTTTCTGGAAACTGCAATCACACATGAAGATTACAAATTAGCTCTTATTCTTTTTTTTTTTTCTAACTATGAAACATACACCTGGTTTCAGTTTAATTTCAACTCCACCACCTGAAAGGGTTCCTATAAAGACCCATTTGTCTCCATACAACAAAGAGAAGGTAGCATTGGCAGTAAAAAATGAGTTGGACCGGGGAGGCCAAGTGTTTTATGTCTTGCCACGTATTAAAGGTATTATTTGGAGTTACTTGTTTTTGGAATGCGGTTCTGATTTGCAATTTGGACTAGCATATTACTGATAACATGATTTGGTTGTGTAAACGCATCTGTGTTGATTTTGGGTGGTTCTTGGGCTGACAGGACTAGAAGAAGTTAAAGATTTCCTTGAACATTCATTTCCTGATGTCGAAATAGCCCTTGCTCATGGGAAAGTAAGTTTGTCTCCGTTAATATTATGTTTTTAAAAACCTGGCAATCGGGTCGGGTTGGGTAATTTCGGGTTGGGAATCTCCGGTTACGGGTCTTCACGGGTCGGGTCATGTTGGGTTTGCTGATTCTGGGTCAAATATTGACCCAACCCATCGGGTTTCGGGTCATTTCGGGTTATGAGCGTTCTCAGAAACAATATCAAATATGCTTCATAAATTTTTAAAAAACACAAACTTTTACATGTGGGTGACAATAGTTTGCCTAGCACATGTTAATTAACAAATGCTCAACTCCTTCCATGCTAATGAAAAGAAATAAAATTTGCACAAATCGTGAAAAAACAATGACGAAAATAATACTAATAAAATAAACAAATGATGTTTGATTATCTTTACACTCCCAACTTGTCTTTCAAATCCATATGAATTTTTTTTAAACATCTCACCTAAGTATGAGAGATTTTATCATTTTGAGAGCGACATATACAATGGAACGGGTCTAGCGGGTCGACCCAAAACCAACCCAACCCGACCCAAAAAATACGGGTTAATCGGTTTTGGGTCATTCCGGTTTCGGGTTAAAAAACCTCAACCCATTCTCTATTTTTAGGGCGGGTTCGGGTCGGGTCAACGGGTCGGGTTCTCATTTGCCATGTCTTTTTTCATAGCTCTTATGTACTCTACGAGTTAATTAGGTTAGGTCATATAGCCCAGAGCTGACTGAGCTTTTGTTACTCTGAATCGATGATTGTATTATGGATTACTTGAGTGAAACTTGTTAAGGTGTTACTCCAATTGGCTTGGCCTCTACGATGGGAAATGAATTCATCTGAATATCCAAACATAAACCGAACTGCAGTGCAGCTGAAGAGGCTCCTTCCTAGTTTTTGTTTGTTTGTTAGGATTAGGTGGATTCAGTGTAGTACATTCATTGATCAAAACTTCAGCAGTACAAAATTATGTAGTCAATGAGAATCGAATGTGAACTAAATGTTTCAGAAAACTGAGCGCGAACTGGTTCACGGTACCTACTACCTTGTTTCTCGTGTTGCTTTCTTAGTAGAACCCTTTTGCTACCTCCTTTAAGGGCATACATACAACACGAATTAGCATTTCTACTTGTCCCCTATGCAGCTTGATTCCTTCTGTGATACCACACTTTGATTCTCATTCATGTTACTATTGCTCCTTTGTAGCAATACTCAAAGCAACTTGAGGACACCATGGAGAAATTTGCGCTAGGTGAAATAAAGATTCTCATATGTACCAATATAGTAGAAAGTGGGCTTGATATACAGAATGCAAATACCATCATAATTCAAGATGTTCAGCAATTTGGACTGGCACAACTGTATCAGGTTCCACTCCGACAACCTTGTACATTTTTATGTTCTCGAGTTCAATTATTGTTGCTGACCAATGGCCAGACCATTTCTCGGAATATTGCCATATTTTTTTTCCTTCTAAAATGCTTGTTAATATCTTCCATGTCAGCTTAAGCAATGGCTGCTGCATGTGTGATTCATTTTAAGCAGAACACACGATTATTCAATGAACCAATTGTCTTTACATCTCCAATCCATTAGACCCCAACTTGTCATACTTTGCATATTGATTGCATGTCCTTGGTGTAGAAGTACATGTTGCTACATTTCTTTTCCCTTGCTACATCTGTTCAGGTTACATGAACCCTATCAATCTACAAAATCTTAGATACTCGGGTTTCATTGCCATTGACGTTTTTCAATGTTATCACTGAAGTTACGTGGAAGAGTGGGCCGGGCAGATAAGGAAGCTCATGCTTACCTATTTTATCCCGACAAATCATTCCTAACTGATCAAGCCCTGGTATGTTATATGATTTCCTCAGCATCCGGGTTATGCCTACCATTGAAATTTTCGTGTGAATCTTGTAATCTTTTTAATTGGACAGGAGAGACTGCAAGCAATGGAAGAATGCCGAGAACTTGGACAGGGTTTCCAAATTGCTGAAAGAGACATGGGTATAAGAGGCTTTGGGACAATCTTTGGTGAGCAACAAACTGGGGATGTGGGGAATGTTGGCATTGATCTCTTCTTTGAAATGCTTTTCGAGAGCTTGTCCAAGGTATATTAGTTGACCACCTTCATTAGATCTTATTGTACTATGAATATGATGCTCTTTTCTGGCTTTTTTGTCTCCCGTTTTCTTTATGCCTGTGGACTTACTCTCTTTGTGGCATAATTTTGCTCAGTGATCTAATAATAGACTGACAAGAGGTTGTCTTCTATAGAACGATTATCCAATACTCATGACTGGGCTATCTGTTAGTTTTGCTGTTTTTGTTCATTTCTCCTCCACTCTTTGCTTTGAACTTAACAATCATCCCTGAACTTTATACAGGTCGAAGAGCACTGTGTGGTATCAGTTCCTTACAATTCTGTTGAGGTAATTACTCCATTCAGGCCTTTAACTGCTCGACGTTGAAGTTGCACAAAATGAGAATTCTGAGTGATCAAAATTAACCCAAATATATAGTATTACTTGACGAAGTTGTTAACCATGCCACTCCTTTGCCTCTTATCTGCTTGTAGATTGATCTGAATGTAAATCCCCATCTTTCTTCCGAATACATAAATTATCTGGAGAACCCCATTAAAATTATTGGTGAAGCAGAGAAAGCTGCAGAGAAAGACATTTGGAGTCTGGTACAGTTCACAGAGAATTTGAGGCGCCAATATGGAAAAGAGCCCCACACCATGGAAATTTTACTGAAGAAACTATATGTGAGGAGAATGGCTGCAGATATGGGAATAATGAGAATATATGCTTCAGGAAAGATGGTTGGCATGAAAACAAACATGAGCAGAAGAGTTTTCAAGCTGATGACAGACTCTCTGTCTTCAAATGTGCATGGGAACTCCTTGGTCATTGAAGGAGACATAATAAAGGTAAGCTTTGCTACTGCCTGGTTGGTAATGCACATCTTGTTCCTCAAATTTTGAGTTGTCTAAGGAGTTCTTCTTGGTCTGTGTAATATAACCGTAACCTGTCTTTTGAATGCTGTCTATATGATCAAAATCTATTCAGACTTTCGATGGAAATGAGATCTGTCACAACCATGCTAATCCAGTCTCTTCCTACCATAACTTGCCTTTTACCCCTTGAACTTCAACTTCTTTGCCTTAGTCCTGATCCCTTCTAGATCTGAGGCATACGGAATGGTCTTCCCTTTTATACAGAAATATAAACTCAATAATTTTGTCCTGCTAGAAATGGAATCACTAAGTTGTTATATACTGTCGTTGCTGTGTGCAGGCAGAATTACTACTGGAGCTCCCAAGTGAACAGCTGCTAAATTGGGTGTTCCAGTGTTTGTCGGAACTTCATGCTTGTCTGCCTTCCCTCATAAAATACTAGATTTGCATAGGTGAACCTTAGATAGGTGGTATTCTTTGGGAGCCTGCTTATTTAGCAGGTGATTGCATCCTTATGCGGAAGCAGAACTTGGACTTGGATGTTAGTGTATGTGGGGAAGATCCAGAGGGGAAGAAGTAAAGGGATTGATAAGTAAAACATGTACATGGTATTGGCTTGGCAGAGCGTTTTGCGCGGATTTGGTTTATTATTATGAGTTCTTAGGACTAGGTGGGTCAGTTGGAGATGCCAGTGTGGGATGGCCTAGACAGTGAAGAAGAAAAACTGTTAAGGGATGGTGAAGTAGATGTAGGTTACATTAGAGTATGATTACAGGGGGGGGGGGGGCTGGATGGAGGAGACACATGACATACTGCAATTGTACTGCCTTCCATCGAAATTTTGTTTTATATTCTTAGCCAGGTATGTTGCGGGGAGAGTAGTTGTTTATTTACTACATTTATTTGGGTCAACTGGTTACCTGTGTAGATATACATTATTATTTGGTTTCTGCGTGTACTTACATAGATTTTAATGCTGATGAGTGTATGTAAGTGGAGGTGTTGAACCTTTATCTCGACAATACTAATATGATGAAGAAATCCAGTCGATACCCAGACCCAGACCAAAAAGTAACGGTTGCCAGGTATGTCTGCCATCTTTTTTTGTTTTTTGCTTTGGCAAGTGAATGTAGCATTGGAACTTCAGCTTAAAAGAAACGTTTCTTTCTTCTTTGTGAAATAATGTTTCCACATCAGCTGCCATGCTGCATCTTTACAAAGAGAACCAGCGTATAAATGAACAGAAGCATTATTTCACTTGTAATGCTGAGAATGTAAAACTGAGATATAGGGAACAGAAAATGTAAAACTGAGAAATAGGGAAGACAAACAACAAATGAACAGCAACCGAAACAAAGTCGCGAGGGATCCATCCATCCCTATTTCTCAGCAATGGAATGTGATAATTTTGCTCTTCGTGTGCAGATTGTGCAGTTTGATCAGTTCAAAGCTAGACAGTGGACTTCAGCTCGCTCTTATCACTCAATCCCAATTTCAAGGTACCAAAGGTATAAGGCCTTGTTGTTACAGCTGGGAAATGCTGTAAGTTCTGTTGCGAAAAGGGTGGAAGTGACAGAACGGTTCGATGCTATGTCAAGGAAGAATTGCAGGTTCTTGGCAGATATAAGGAGAGCAATGATGCGGTTCTAACAAGCATTCTTAACCGCATTCATGTTGTAGAATGGAGATAGGAAGAAGCGCCTTGCATCCTTGTTCTGTTCACTCAACAGAACAAAATGATCCCCAAAATTTCAGGTTCTGGACTCAACTGGAAGCAATCATGTTATTTCCTTACTGCAACAATCTCATAACTAATTAAATTGTACCAGGGGAATTTATGAATGTATATTGAAATCAGTCTAGTCGCGGTCTTTGACAATTAATGGAACTGGTAGGGGGGTGGAAATTGTGGTAAAACAGAGGAGGGGTTAGCTTGAGAATGAGGTAGGAATTGAACCACACCTCGTCGGTGGAAGGGAGGACGTGGTAGAGGAAAGCAGACTCGAGGTAGACGACGGTATTCGCAGCAATAATTGTTGTAGGTGGCGTGAGAGTTCCATGGCAGTCTGTACTACTCGGTGGCAGAGCGAAGGGGCCATCATTCTCGCTCCTCTCCATCGAGATATGGTTAGGGGATCGTCGTGAATATGGAAACTTGTAATTACCCAACTCCAGCTAGCTCCGATGATGGAAAGATTGGCGAACTGAAATGAAAGAGGATTCGTGCCGGGATCAAATAGCCGGCTTGAGCCAAGAATGTTGGGATGGCAGCCTACTTCCTCAAGCTAGAGGTTCCTTTTTTCACAAACCATTATTGAAACACTTGTTCGAATGTCTACTCCTATCTATGGAGTCTCTTATGAAAGAATGATAAAAGTTAAAGGCAAATATACAAACAACATAGCAAGCAAAAGCTTGGAAAGAATGTGTGGCATCATCACAAACGCAACACCTTAGTCATTGTCAGGAACTTCAAACTCTTTTTCAATATAAGCCGACCATTGTCCTACATTCACTCTTTTTGTTACCAATTTGACTCCATTTTGTGTAGGCGATCTGGCGACCTTGGATCCTTCATACCTTACCATCATCGGGAATGAGTGATATGAGCGCGATGGATGTTTGCTAATGGATGAACTAATAAGCAAAGATGATTCGATGATTTGTGCTGACATGACTGTCTTGGAGACTCCGGTTGGTTGCTTCCCTTGCTCAACTTAAGAAGATGAACCAACAAGAAAATATGTCTATATTGAATAAAGGTAGTAGGAACATAGGTAAAATGAAGATTTCACGAGACCTTAACACATGGAGTTGTATGCAATTGTGGCACAAATGAAAATGGATTTCCTTCTATATCGATTATGTTGACACATGCTTTGCTCGAGAAACTAAGACAACGCACACCAAATACAATTAGCGACAACAGAAAATTGCAATTGTGGATAGGCACAATGATTCAACTTGACAATAGCCATACATCCTATCAAACTGGGGTCTTAACTCTTAAGAGATGATTGGGAATGGCCAACAACCTTCTTCGTTGCATCAAAACCGAACCTAGAAATTGAGAAGAACCCTAAGAACTAGAGGTGGCAAACATGTTGGTTCGTTGTGGGGCGAGTCATTATTGATATGAATAGGTTAAGTAAAAAAACATTCGCAATTGGTGCTGTCATATAATCACATGTCATTTGAGGGTCGAATTTGGATCTTGTTGGAACTTGGAACAACCATCCCTATCACGAATCGAAGGAGGAAAGATAGAAAACAATATCACGGTGTACCAATCTAAGGGATTGACACATCTGTCCTAGGATGTTAACAAAAATCCTTAGTCTTCGAGTCGAGATGTAAAATCACCTACAATCATCTTCAATTCCCTACATTCTTGAATTACCTACAGGAAGAAGCCAAAAATCCATAAAGGAAAAACAATAAGCCTAAGTACCAAAGTGCATTTGAAACATGAACAAATATGCATTTAACTCACTGATGACGAAGATATCATCTTCGACACGACATACCTTATATCTTGGAGAGCGAAGATACTGATGAATAGGTTTTGAAGAGTTTTCGAATATCGGGCAAATAAAAATGTAGAAGACATAACCGGGTTTTTTCTCCTTGAGAATATGAACAATAACATTGTCCTCGCTCTTTCCTGTTAAGCTGATTTCTTCATCGAGAACTCTCAAAGCATGTAGTAGAAAGTCAAGCAAAGTTGGGGTATAATCCTTATAGCTAGTATGTTAAGACATTTGAGGACCAAGTGGATGGTCAAAGTGAAGAAGGAATTGTACGATCATTAGAACGGAACTTAGCAATTCGGCCCTCCGTGATGTAGATAAAACATAATTTTGCAAGATAGGTGAGTTGGATGACTTTTGCAGCCTTACCATACCTAAGCTCCAACTGCAACATGCAATGCATCTTTTCTACCTACAGGTGTTTCCAAAACCATATATCATTTTTGGGGAAAAAGAAAGATTTAAGAGACACAACTAGCTAGAGAAGGAAAACAAACACACCAACCAAGTAGGAAAGAAAATATGAAACCTTGTCAGTTTTGCTAAGAATGCAGATAAAACCAACAAGTAGTTACCAGAAAATACCACAAGTTCTCGATAGCCCTACTGAATTCCGAATCAAGAATTTCATTTATGCACACACTGAATTGTTGAATAAAATAGGCCCAATACCCTGATCTTGGCCTTCAATATACAAAAGCCCGGTTAACTTGGAGGAATAAGTCACCAATTTTTGTTACAACAAAGAGAGCTATGAAGACAAACAACAAGGGAGTTGATGGCTCAATGAATACGCCATATATGATAAATGTAAGGGAGTCGTTGGTTGAGTGCTAACAGAGCTAGGTTGCTACCATAGATATAGACATCCGCTTAGACTTTAAAGGAAAAGAAAGAAGAAGAATAAGAAAAAAAAGAACTTCATAGTTTATACATTTTTTCGAGGCTCAAATGCTTGATATACACCTGACTCTACTTCCTCTCTTATAACAAAGTCGTAAAGTTTATGTGGTTGTTTATCGTATCCATCGTAATAGTTGAATGTATTGGTAAAAAAAATCTAAATTCGATGACTAATACAATAACTAAACATCTGTTTGTTGGCTCTGATATCTACATCAAAAGCATTTACAGTTACAAAAGTCTAAACCAAGCTATTGGTTTAAAAATGAAGAATATTTAATAAGGATGAGTTCAACAAGACAATTGTAAGAAGTCATTTTGTTGTATGGCTGTGAGCCTCTGACTCCATATCAAATTTTGGCAATAACAAAAATAACTATGATATTGAAGTGCGAAAACATAAATATTTTAGTTCGTAACAGTAAATAATTTGTATTTAGATCGAGTTATCCTAGCCACAATTTTTCTTCCATATTCCACCGGACGAGCTAAGTTCGAAGGTATTAACTATGGTTAAAAAGTAAAGTAAACTCTTTATATATGCTTAGATATTAACGTAGATGTGTCTACAATACATCCAAGAATTCATAAGTATGCATTTAATTCTTTTAATCAACTTTTCAATCAGTTATAAATTAAATGTTCAAACGATACTGCGTCATAAAAATGTATCTAAAATCCATATGCATTGTAGACACACTTTATCAGTTATTAAGATAAGTAATAAAGATTTTGTTCTAGAACAAACACTAAAGATAAAGAAAATTGTACAAAAGCACATTCAAAAAATTGGAAAATTATACACTAAATGATAATGTCAAGACAAGAACCCTTGGTAGTGTGTGAGTGTCTTGGATTGAGATTCTAAGTCAACATGTAGACATCAACCATGGGTTGAGGAATAGTCCAAACGTCAAGATTTAACGATTGATACATATTGTATAAGATACTAAATTTGAATACCTTGATTAACAAATATTGAAATAAGATCCTCAACCGCGATTTCATGAACATTCCCATGAAAATTAGTCAAGATTAGATAATTTGATTATCATAAGAGATACGATGTGTGTCAAGTTTCACTTGGGATAAATAAAATTTATCCAATAATTCAGTTTCTTTATCCCATAACCTTTACGCTTAATAATTGGTTGAGAGTTTGTCCTAACTCGAGAATTACAAATTGTTATATGTTGTATAAGATAATAAATTTGAGTGTCTTTTTGACAAATCTTGATTAACATATAGATAAATTGATTTATATAAATGTTAAAATGAAACTTTCCAGTCAACAGATAGGACAAAAAACTAGTAGCTATCAATACCTATCCTTTTGGTTTTGTGCGTTGTTCCAATGCTTTATTGTTTGTGAGTAATTGCAAATGACAAGTCTGCGAATTTTCTTGAAGTATTTTCTAGTATACATGTCTAATATGCTCGCCCGACAGAAAAATTTCTTCTTGCTCCGAAAAATTTGCTTTTCGCATTACCCTCAGTATGGTATGTTCATGCCTTCTAATTGTAAAAGTCCATTATTATTGTCCATCCCCATCCATCAGAACAACCCCCTATTCACACGTAACCCAACCTCAGGGAGGCATCCATGTCTAAGTAATAGCTAAAGAAAAGGAGCAAACACAATAGTTTCAGATTCGGTCGGATTTCGTATGGTTTTACGATCTTAATGTTGTATCTTGTGTCGCCTCTTCGTACGTATCACTCAATTCCTAGTTAAAGACATTGACGTTTAGGAGGAAATCATTTTCCAAAAAATAGTACCTTTTGTACCACGCTCACGCTCTTGTCATCACTATTTGAGCTACAATCACTTCAATTGTAAGGAAATCTAGTACCTACAAGCTTCTGTATCTGCTAAAGTGAAGAGGGTCTCTTTCTTGTTGTTTGTTTCATAAGATATGGAGTGAATGTGGTATTGATGGAAAAGAGGGACGTAGCTCGGTATAGAAAAGGGAACGAGGTAGGTGGTGGGTGGTGTTGGAAATGGTGAGGCGTATTAATGATCAACAAAGAATAAGACAAGGGGTAAGTGGTAGTTGAAAGTGACAAAAAGGGTGAGGGTTAGGCCAACTGGTGGAGAAGAGAAATAAGAAGGAATGTGGTAAAAGGGGTGAGGGTTATTGTCAATTGGTGGAGAAGAGAAAAAAGGAATGTGGTGAAAGGGGTGTGGTTTCTTGTCAACTGGTGGAGAAGAGAAAGAAGAAGGAATGTGGTGAAAGGGATGAGGGTTATCGTCAACTGGTGGAGAAGAGAAAGAAGAAGGAATATCGTTGATTAAAGAAGAAGAAGCAAAAGGGGAAGCAACACTACCATAGTGAAAACTGTGAGGGATAGACATATTTGCTCCATGCCTTAAAAGAAACGGAAATTATTCTGAAAAAGTCAAATTGGTGGTCTCGCTGCTCTCCTCTTCCTCCTCGTTCTCTTGACTCGACCATGTTAGAGACCATATAATTATGGGAACATTCAATTTCGGAGGCTCCCCCTTCCTCCCTCCTCCATCTTTGAGTTTGTCGAGTATGGTCTTCTTGATTGCTGTAGAATATAACAACAACAAATAAGTTAGACATATAATGACTTGGATAATCAGTCCATTAAAATCAATAACTAAATAAATTGAATCTTGTAGAACTCATCCATACTTACTTTTTACTAAATTTGACATTATTGAAATGGAGAGGGGGGAGCGGTTTGTCAGTTTTTTGTAGTCAAACTTTGTTTAGATGTAATTTTTTTTGACAAATAACTTGATAATTGCTCAATCGTTGTCCATTTTAAACATTATTCTCATTGTTTTTTATTTTAAAGATTCTATCATTCATTCACTATTCTTTTTAATAATAAATTGACATTCAAACATAATATTTATGCATTCACCACTTTTGTCAATAAATACAAATACAATATTTATTTTGTATGATAAGTTGCAAGAAAAAGTTGTGCTAGAAAACTCACAACTTTTGTCTAGCCAGTATCATGCATCCACAATATCTTTTGTTGCTTTATTTTTTTACATAAGCAAGACACTGGATTTACTTTGACGTGACTGTACACACTCTTAATTTGCATCATGAATTTCTTTATAAATATTAAGAATTAAGGATGATAGCATTATTTGCCCATCTGCAATGACTTTTTCTTAAACTTGTTGTATTTTATGTCGCTTTAAAGTTGTCCTCCTACTTAGTGACGTAAAAAATATGCATGTTCGTCAATACTCATCTGAATTTGACCTTTTTGTTTGGATAAAAAAATCGAAAGGTTTTTTCATGGGTATGGATAAGACCAAATATGAATATTGCGGTGATGGATGTAGGGGTGAACAAACACACCCGCAAACCGACCCACCCGTCCAACCCGATCCAATCCACCCGTATTTATCGCTAAAACTAAGGTTTTGGGTTGGGTGAGGGTTTTCTTTTTACAACCCGCCTCTTTTGGGTTGGGTTTGGGTTTTGGATTACACAACCCGTAGAACCCAACCCAACCCGTGTTCCAACTATTGATATGAGTTCGTATCCAAAAAATATTTATGTCGTATATAACTATACTTATTAGAAAATTAAGATATTTCGCCATGGTTTTCTCTCATGGTCTCACTAATCTAATGCATTTTTTGGGTTAAAGTTTAGACATAGATTTAATATAGCTATGATTCACGTAATCATTTTTCTTGTGAACGATTTTAATAGAATTATATATTATGGATGCGTTCGTTTATAACATTTTTATCCTATTTCAACAAATGTCGTGAAAAAAAACTAGATATATGTTGAAGTAAATCACATTTAAATAAAATTTAAACAACATTTGTGAACTTTGATACCTTTCACCTCAGTTTATTCGTTTGAAATTTTAATTAGTTATAAAATATTTTTATGGTGTAGAATAATTACATATTTTGTGGTGGGTTGGGTTTTTACTTAAAAATATCGTCAACCCGACCCAACCCAATTAGAAACAAACCGTAGGGTTTTAATTTTTTGGGGTGGGTTTGAGTTTAATATTTCCCAAACCGTAGTGCATCAGTCGGGTGATTAAAATGGCTAAACCCGCACCACCCGACCCATGTACACCCCTAGATGGATGGACATGGTTTGCTCACTATTCAACCCGAACATGCCCGACTTTATATATGTATGTCTAATTTGGCTAGAAATGATTATTATTTTTTTAACATGTTCGATATTTATTATAAGTATATAACATTTTCATGAAATTGTATTCTTTTCAACTTGTTTATTAAGTTCTAGTGATTCATTGTTGGACTTTTTTACTGATAAAATGTCACTATACGTGCAATTATTTATAGAAAAAATACATTTGCATAGCCATAATTATCAATTTTGTGACAATAATAGTCAAATTTGGAAAAATACACAGATATAGTCACACCTTTTAAACTTTTTTGACAAATTTAGCCATAGTCATCAAATACTTTAATGTCATCAATAACCCTATTAGTTTAGTGTACGTTTGACTGATGTGAATGCCATACCTCATGCCCACCTAGACCCACCATACCAAGTGGACACCACATTAATGACAAATCATCATATAATTGCTACATCGGATTTGAGTACAATAATAATAAAAAAAATCAAATGAAAAATATATATCATTCTCTTCCTTTCCTTTTTCCTTTCTTCCCCTCTCTCATATCTTTGGCCGGTGCATATTTATTATCTTGCCCAAAATAGTTCAGATTTTACCCATACCTATACAAGAATCGGGTAAAATATAAAAACAATATGCATACCCAATCGAGTTTTGAATATTCGCGGTTATCCACTGATATTAATTATTCATTATAACTTCAACCAACATGTTAACAATTTCACATATTCTGACACTATATAGGTGACAAAATACAACAATAAATTACTAAAATGAAGAAAATTAGTTAAAAAAAATACAATATCATAAAAATATTTTTATATTATATGTATGGTGGCGTCTTAAGACTAGTTTTTGAATTGGGTGCATTGAACACAGAGACGGACCTATGGTGGCGTCAACTGCAAACCTTAGTTTTATGTTTGAAATAAGCATCAATGGAAATTTGAAGTTTATTAATGATAGTATTGGGATCCAATTCCATTTGACAATATAATTAAACGTTTCCTCTTAACGGTAAACCATTGGTTGTTAATAAATTGAAAAAGTTTATTAATAATTCTATTTAAGGAACTGAATATATTTTTAAAATATAATTTACTTCATTAGTTCTCGTGTTCATTTATGGGGAAAACCCTTTGACTACTGTCACGACCTTGCTCTTGATCGTGCGGCTTTAGCTCTCAATTTCGTTAGAGATGCTAAGCAGCCTTCTCACAAGCTCTCAAACTCACTCCACTCACAAGAAGAAGACACAAGAAGATGAGAGAAACTCTATAGTTGTATTGCTCACAAAAATGATGGATGAGTTACAAGTGAGGGAGATGCCTCCTTATATAGGCCTCTCCTCATACAAGGCATCAATGCTCCTC